TGACGTTCACTCAAATTCTTGAATCGATTTGACAATCCTCATAAGGCTGCGGTTCTCTTGGCTGGTTGTGCCTCTTTTTCTTCCACACTTTTTCCTTCTACTCAACTTTCTGTTAACATGCTTGGATACAGCATTCTGTGAACAGCCAGCTTCTTTGGCAATGAATGTTTTGAATGTTACCTCCTTGTGAAGGGTGTCAATGATTGTCTTCTGGACAACTGTCAGATCAGCAGTCTTCCCCATGATTGTGAAGCCTAGTGAACCAAACTGAGAGACCATTTTGAAGGCTCAGGAAACCTTTGCGGTGATTTGATTTAATTAGCTTATTGGCCTGTCACCATATTCTAATTTGTTGAGATAGTGAATTGGTGGGTTTTTGTTAAATGTGAGCCAAAATCATCACAATTAAAAGAACCAAAGACTTAAACTACTTCAGTCTGTGTGCATTGAATTTATTTAATACACGAGTTTCACAATTTGAGTTGACTTTTCCACGACATTCTAATTTATTGAGATGCACCTGTAATGCAGCAAATAAAGTATATAAACAAAATTACAGTCCAACCACTGCAGTGATCCGAAATATAAAGAGATCAGTGGTTCAAACACATTCAGGAATAGTTTCACTATAATTGTTAGCAGGCCTGTTATAGATATATTGATTTACACAGCCAGGTAACATTGTGACAGTGCTAGTTGTAGTGATATCTAAATATATATAAGAGACAGCTAACCATGTTGATTCAATGGCTATTCAATAATTTAAGTAACATTGACTATGTACCTATAGGGCCGACCAGGACCTCCCATTTGAGGATCACGCATCCCACTTGATATGGGCATGGCTGTCATGGGAATATGACCTTGTTGTACAGGTCTCATGTTAAGGGGAGGCTGACCCTTTGAAAGCAAGACAAAAGGCAGAAAAAAATGAGAGATCACAAGACCATGTGCATTTTAATACTTGGCAGATCACTCAAGAAGCAAATATATCGATACACCTGTCAGATCCGTCAGGCTTAAAAAAATGTCTTATGCTGTGTTTTTTATGACTTCCAAAGGCATTTCCAGATAGATCCATGTTTCTGATTAAGATTATGGGAACTCTGTGCTGTTGCTATCGATCATTAATCATTATCATATATCATTAACACATTAAGTAGACTTACATTCATATCAGAAGCAAAAGCAACACCAGGGAACAAGTCCTGCTCTTTAGAGGCTGTCTTGGATGTTGTCATTCCTTCACTGAACACAAACATGCACAGAGACAGAATGAATTACTTGTTAAACATAACATTTAATGACTTAATGAGCATCATGGGCTTTAAGTCATATTTTTAAATCACATTCATAAAGTCAGGTTATGCAAGACATAAAGATTCGCATGATGCTATTCAGAATCAATAAAGCTACATTTAATTACATTAAAAGGACTTCTAGAGTTGTGTTTGTCATTCTCACCGTGCGTGGCTCTTGTTTGATGGCAACATCAACACATAAACAACTACCCCAACCAACACAGCGAGTGTGAGACCAGGCAGAGATGCTACCAGGGCAAAGGTCACAACTGTCCATTTCTGAAAGCAGTCTTCATTAATGTAAAACTCACCTTTTTGACTGTTGCACCTACACAGAGAACAGTGGAAAGGAGTGAAGCTTGTGTTTAAACTACTGTGTAGAGTATCACAGAAAAGTCATCTGTAAGGAGCAGATTACCGACAGAATGGTTGTCCCTCAAAACAGATACATCTGCTAATTTTCTCATCACAGATCGCTCCACCATTCAGACATTGGTTAAAGTTAATAACATTATTACAGGCTGAAGAACACAAACAGAATCTACAGTAAGATCATTAGTTTGCATATAATGTATCATAATTATTTTTAAAACAGATACTACATAACCATTTCAACATATTTGAACCTTCTTTTGAACACACACTTACGGTCTGGTGTCTGTCCAGTTGCCTCAGTAGTAACAAACAAGATGAAACACACGTACAGTAAGATCTTCATCTTTTAGTTCCCACACACACACACAAACTCCACCAGTGGCACTTGTATAAAAGGCTCTTTGCACCTGACGTGGTTATTTATGGTGTTACACACACCCAACACAGTGAGAGCTGGAGCATGCGCAAACACTCACCAGCACACAGTGTATGTGAAACTCTTGCAGTTTTCAGCAGATATTTGCCAGTGTGGACATGTGACCCCCCCTCCCTCCTCCCTCATTAATTCACTTCAGTGGGCTTTTGGTGGATTGGATTAACATTAATGAAGCCATGAACTTATAAAAGTTATAACAATTATTAAAATTCTATTTTAAATAGTTTTAGATGGTGTGTATCATGTCACAATGCAGGACATTTATCAGTTTAATTTTTTTATTTGATCTTTTTTCTCTGATATTTAGGCTCACATGCTCACAAACATACTACCATTCAAAAGTGAATACTAATCAGCAAGAACTCATTAAATCTAATTTTTTTTAAAAAGTAAAGACATTCATAATGTTACAAATGAGTTCTATTTTAAATAAATGCTGTTCTTTTGAACTTTTAATCAAATAATCCTGGGGGAAAAAATTACGGTTTACACAAAAATGTTAAGCAGCACAACATTAAAATGAATAAGAAATTCTTCTTGAGCACCAAATCAGCATATTAGAATGAATGCATTTTAAAGTATATTCAAGTAAAAAAACATTATTTGAAATTGTATTATTTCATACATTAGTTTTACTGTATTTTTGATTTTATGCTCACCATAAGAGATTTCCCTAAAAAAGATAAAATCGTACGAACCACAAACTTCAACAGTAGCGTAAATCAGGTGGTGCCACACTGCAGGACTGATGAAAATGAAACACCTACAATTCCTGCAGGTACTGAGACTTGAACCTGCAACCTTTGTGTGACAAATCCAACTGTCTAACCATTAGGCCACAACTGCCCCACGATGCATTTCTGTATTGTATATTTCCATGATGATAACAGTCACATCATAGGAGAGTTTTCACAACTTACTTGAAACTGCTAAAAACTGCCAATGCCAACTGGCAATATGAGCTGCCAGGGTTTGAGTTCAAAGTGTTTTCAAATGAATTTTAGAAAAACTGATTATAGGAGCAAGATCAAGACTAGCAGGAGAGTTGATCTAGGTTTAGGAGGGACAGAAATCACAATTTGTTCCCTTCAGATACATAAAGATTTATTTCTCACATCACAAAAGTTGTCTGAGTCCCTCAAACAGGATCAATAAGTCATATAAAAATAACAACATGTAAAACACAACCATAAGAGCAGGACGAAATATACAGTTATGTGCAACACCATGATCACCTGCAGGACACAGTTACACACACACAACATATAACAGAAGAGGAATAAGCGTGTGTTAGTTGTCAGAATCCATGTCACTGTCTCCGCCAACGGATCTGAATTCTTCACTGTCCTCCTCATCATCACTGAGCTGTGCCTGTGTGAGAACACTAGGACCTCGTCTCCGTTCATCTTCCTCCTCTTCTTCCTCTTCACTTATCCCATACACCTCCTCTCCATCTCGTTCTCCTGTCCTGGGGCTAGACACAAGCCTATGCATCTGACTGTCTCCATCATCATAACTGCCGTAACTGTAACACACAGGAAGTGTAAGTGAAAGAGTTTATACAGAGACTTTTATAAGAAGACATGGCATTTAATTCAAATAGCCACACTGCCTTACTGGCAATGGTACAATGATTTTCATCCAAAAAATCCAATATTGGATTCTTAAAATATTAAGAGAATATGCAGCTATCCCGCACACAGTTCTCAACATAGTAAAGTGTGTTCATGATAAACATTATAATATTCTATTTTAATTCTACTTTATCTATATTTATCTTTTTATTTAAAAAAAACAACAACACTAGCTTTCTATTTTTTCTATTCCATCTACTTGTTTTTTCTATGTGTATGTGTGTGTGTATAATATATATATATATACACACACACACACACACCTTCCTACATGTACAGCGTTAGGCGAACCGAGACTTGTCATTTGCACTTATATATTGTTGCTCTTTTGTTAGTTTTGACTGCTTTTATTGTCCTCATTTGTAATTGACAGTTTTTTTATATTAGTTACATATTAGTTATCTACAGAGATGCTGTCAACCGTTTTGTAGTGTTATATTAACTTTGTATAATAACTTTGTAACTAAAATCAAACAGAGCATGTGAATCAGAAATCTGTGACCTACTTCATGCACACGACCATTCAAATGTTTGATGAAAGACTCTTATGCTCACCAAGGCTGCATTTATTTGATCAAAAACGCAGTAAAACAGTAATATTGTGAAATATTATTAAATTTTCAAATAACAGTTCTCTATTTGAATATATTTTAAAATGTCATTTTGTCCAGACATGGCAAAGCTGAATTTTCAGCAGCCGTAACTCCAGTCTTCAGTGTCACATGATTCTTTAGAAAGGATCACATCTTACTGACTCCAAACTTTTGAGCAGTATTAGTTTTAGCCTGATTTAGAATTTGTGAGATTTTATTGTTGCCATGATATGCTTTAGAAACATAAATGAATCCTTTACCAATTCATGTAGATGAGAACAGTATGGAGCATGACTAGAATAGCTGACCGAGGGCATTACCAAGATGCCCCAAAGAATAACACAGGACTATTTATTAGGAAGTACTGTAAATCATGTAAATAATGTAAAATAAATGAATCACAGCACTTATCTAAGTACAAGACAAACATTAGACTCTGGAGTCCTGCAGTTCCTGAAGAAGAGTAGCAAATCACTAACAGTGATACAAAACCACGGCTTCATCTGGAATTACATCAGTGTTACTTGAACAACAATATGCTTTTTTTTTTTGCATATATTCTCACCTGACATTGCTGTCCTCCATGTGCATTACCCCATCAGGTCCCTCCCCCTCGTAAGACATCATACTCTCTTCCTGCTCTAGTTCAATCCGGGTGCTCTCCTGATGCCCCAGCTCGGCATCACTGTCACTGCCACTCTCTGACAATTGGATGGCTTCAGTGGAGAGCAGATAGAGTCAATGTTATACATACAGCCAAAATATCCCACAAATACTCCTATATTCATGAGTACACACAGACTCACAGGAGAATGGATTATCGCCTTCCTCCTCACTAGCGTCGTCTTCTGCATCTGACATCAGCAGATCCTGGTAGAGCACACTGGCATGTGCTGGCCGGCTGGAGCTTTCATCGTCCTCCTCCTCCTCCTCCTCCTCATCCCTATGCATATGCCTCTGTGGCCGCATTAGAAGATCATCTTCATCATCCTCATCTTCATCATCCAGATCACCGTCGTCAGCCTAGAAGTACATACAACACTCAAATCTCTGACAATGAAACATTCCGCTAAACCACAGATACTGTGCTAATGCTTAATGCATATGTTCATTTTGTACACAATAATTAGTTCATTAAATCAATCAATAATGGGGGGGGGGGGGATAGGGGACTGAGGCTTCCATGTTAAAAGACCTCTGGATTAAGTTTTTTTTTGCCCAAGACTATTACCGGAGCAGGTGTTTTAGGTTTTCCATCATCATCTTCCTCATATCCTTCAATGTCCACATCAGACTCCTCCTCACCCATTCGGCCTCTGCCGTGACGGCCCTTTGGAAGGTGTACACAAAAAAGTAGTTAAGAAAACTACACAGAAGGAGAGGACCAATCAAAAAATGCATGCAGCAGAGGATGGACAGATGGAGGGAGGTCCTTTATCATCTTTGGATATAATTTTTTTTCACATTAAAACCCTAAAGATTTTCGAACAAAAGAACAGTTAATGGTTGAGATACGGAAACCACTACATACTGGTCCCTGGAAGAATAATTTCAGCTACATTCCTTGCAAATGTTACTATATTGTTTTGTTCTTAGCTGGTAAGAGATTCAATTTGAAAGAAATGACCGATTTTGAATTTAGCTCACTAAATACCAGTTCTAAAATGTATCCTAAACATCCTTAATAGCCGCTGGAGATGGGTTAGAAAGCAAATCAAGCAGCAACACACAGAAACCATCACAGTACAGGGGTGGGTGACCACAAGAATGGATGGTGGGGTGGAAGGACATATCTAAAGGGGTAAAGCAAGCCAGCCAGTAAAATGAATGAAGAGATGAATGGACAGAGGAATAGATGAACGGACAAAGAAGGAGAGGAATACCTGCCCCCCTCTTTTCTCAGGGGTGGGAGGGATTAGCGTAGCCTCAGCTAACAGACTAGAATCTCCCTGCAAACTCACAGACACACTGTTCTCACACACATCATATACATTTTTAATTAATTTTATTTTACTTATTAATTTATTTATGCGTATATGTATTATTTTGTTATGTATTTTCTAATTTTATTATAGGACAGGGTATTTAATTTTACTGCTAAAATTTATGTAACTGGCTGGAGTTTGTTAATTGAGGGGCTACTATTACGTAATTTTAAATTGTGGTAAATGGGTTTGTTATCTGTGCACTTGTTATTTTTAATGCAAAAAAATCCAATAACCCGTTGTCCCCACACGTCTCTTCTTTTTAGGAGGAAGCTGCTGCTTGGGGAACTTCAGAACCAGAGATTTCCTCCGCACTTCATCAGCACTATAAACATAATGATGGATTAATATTCATAACAATGCTACAAATACTAAAACATTTTAGCAACTGAGCATACAAATGATTTAAGCAGTTGACAACTTTTTGGAGAGTGACTTGCGATGTGACATGCCATATATTATCTACAACCAGGGATTGAAATTAACTTTTTTACTCACCAGCCAATTTGGCTACTAAATTTTTAAGTTACCGGCCATTCATAACTTCTACCAGCCAAAACACCCCCGAAATAAACCAACAGCTTGAGGCGTGTTTTGTTTGGTTTTCGCAATATACTCTATAATGTCATGATGTCTCACGAGTTCAGTATTTGAGCTAAACCTGCGCAGATTTGGCTTGCATGAACTTCCCAAAGAAATTAATGGGTGAACATAACTTACGAAAAGTAACCCACCAAACTGGCTAGTGATTTGACAGCGTTACCCGCCACAGCTGATTTTTACCCGCATTTGGTGGGTTGGCGGGTGTTAATTTCAAACTCCATCTACAACCATCTTAAAGTATTTTGGTAGTTCTTTTAAATGTTAATATTAGTGCTGGGAAACGATTAAAGTGCGTAGAGACTCATGTGCGGGATACGGGAGATAAGGGTATAGTCACACTATGGGCAATCTTACCCGTGAGCACGTTTGACCCCCAAAGCCCAGTTCGTTTGACTAGTGTGATCACTCCGTGCCGCACTCGGTTGGAAGAGGTGGGCCAGAGCGCGGCTCAGTTATATATAGATCAGCGAGTGTGAGCGCTAACCACGCCAGAGCGCGGAACTTCTGATGCGTGCAGCATGATTGCGTGAACATTTCTGAGCGGCAAAAGTGATAGATCTGTAAAGCAATATATTGTGAGAGGGCCGTGTGTTACCGCGTCCCAAATGACTCAAAATAATAAACCACAAAGTTACCAAACGATGCACTCCACTGTGATGAGCGAGAGCGCTTCTCTGCTGTCTTCACGTGCTATCGGAAACTTCCTATTTCCCGCTTATGAAGTCGTAAGCGCTGCTGCAGTCTTAGGCCCAGCCCAAATGCTCTCATTGGTTGAGAAGCGTGATGACACCCATCCCAAGCCAGTACTGATCAACATCCCACCCCTCCTGTGACAGATGGTTTGTTTGTATGTGTATTCAGAGCCAGTGAGCAATGGACTTTCATAATAATAAAAAACTGCGACAATAACGCGTTAACTTGCCCAGCCCTAGTTAATATGTATAAAGCATATTAAATGAGAGACTTCATAAGATGAAGAAAGAAATTCATTTGTCACACCACAAGTGTTATTTTAGTATTATATACATACTATTGTATTACTTATTAAAATGTTGAATTAACTTTTTAATTTAAATTTTCAGTTTTCATTTAATTTTAGCTATTTATAGCCATAGTGCTTTAGTCATTTTTATTAGTTATACATTTTATTAGATATATAAATATATACCTTTAATCTGTATTCCAGTTTAAATATTTTATTTGAGTTAGTTGCCAGGGCAACATTTGTAATCTACTTTTTAAGTTTACATTTTTTATTTAATGTTTATATTTTATTTTGTCTATTTCAAATTACCAAAAATAATTTTTAATAGTTTTAGCAAACCATAACGCTGTCCATGGGCCCATTTTAAAAGCTAGTGAAGGTCAAAGATGGTTAGTAGAACCATGATATAAATTGCATATACACTTTTAATTAAACTGTATTAATTTTAACCTCTTGTTGATGTCTTGGCATTGATTAAAAAAAAAGTTTACAAATACGTTATGCATCAACGACCATGTTTGTTTTACCTCTCAATGAGCTGCTTTCCAAGCACAATCTTGGTTCCTTCCACTTTAATAAGTTCTTCATTGTCATTGTGGATCACAGTCTTCTCGAGCTCCTCTTCCTGCTCTTCTGTCATTGCCACCGGATTAGAGGGCGGGGCATTGGTTTGGTAGTACAATGGGCAAAACTTATTGGTCCTCATGTGGCCAATAGCACCACAAGCTCCACATTTCAGCTGTGGACACCAGAAACATTAGAATCAGTCTGTGCAGGAAAATATCATGCGCTCATTTCATTCACAGCAAGACGCTTTCAAAAGACAAGGATCAGTGATGAGTAGGAGTGCATTTCTAATTTTGTACCTTCAGGTCTGGTCGTTCTTTGGCCTTCTTTGCCTTTTTCTCAGGTGGACCTTTAAATTTGTCTTTCTCCTGGTTTCGTTTGAGGCGCCGCAGCTGCTCCTGAATTCTTCGCCGTTCCTTTCTCATCTCCTCCCTGTGCTGCTCATCGAATAGTGCAAACTTGCGACTGCAGACACATTCAGGGAAACACAGACATTATTTTTCATTATTATCCTTATTTAATTTTTTATATAAAATAGTGATCAATACTATATTAGTTATTGGTGTGTATTAATATTGACTACTACACTTATGGTATCACAATAACTCTACTAAGTAGACAAATAGACACTTACATGAAATCATCATCCTTAGTCGTGCGTATACGCAAGTAAGCGTCAATAACACCCGGTTTGCGTACAGTCTCACAGCGCACATACTCTTTGCCGTCCTCATCACAGAAGGTGCGATAAATTTTAAGCCTTCGCCCTGTTGCTGAAGAGTTCAGGCTAGTGACGGAGGAAGCGTCATCATCTTTGTGAGAGCTGGTGGAAAGGGCACTTGCTACAATGCACAAACAGATGTTGAGTTGTTAGATACAGAGAAAAATCTGGGTATTGACAAGTTGAATTTCACACACACACACATACAGCCTTTGCGTCTTTCTTTGCGGCCTCTTTCTCTGTCATTGTCCTCTCCCATAAGCATCCGCTGCAGTTCTTTTCTTTCCTGTTCTTCTCTCTCTCTGCTCAGCTGAGAGCTGGTCTTCTTATTCTGCAGCATGTTCTCAATGTTCTTGCCCATCTCCTCAAAATCACTGTCCTCTGCTGAGCTGCTGTCCGTGTCCGTCGATAACACCTCTGTGGACTCTAATACTCTAAAACACACATCACACTCATTTTACATAAACAAAATGAATATGACAATTCTGATTAATGTTACAATATTCTTATGTAACCAACAGCGCACATACTCTTTGCCGTCCTCATCACAGAAGGTGCGATAAATTTTAAGCCTTCGCCCTGTTGCTGAAGAGTTCAGGCTAGTGACGGAGGAAGCGTCATCATCTTTGTGAGAGCTGGTGGAAAGGGCACTTGCTACAATGCACAAACAGATGCTGAGTTATTAGATACAGAGACAGACAACAATCTGGGTACTGAGTACTGACAAGCTCAATTTCACACACACGTACAGCCTTTGCGTCTTTCTTTGCGGCCTCTTTCTCTGTCATTGTCCTCTCCCATAAGCATCCGCTGCAGTTCTTTTCTTTCCTGTTCTTCTCTCTCTCTGCTCAGCTGAGAGCTGGTCTTCTTATTCTGCAGCATGTTCTCAATGTTCTTGCCCATCTCCTCAAAATCACTGTCCTCTGCTGAGCTGCTGTCCGTGTCCGTCGATAACACCTCTGTGGACTCTAATACTCTAAAACACACATCACACTCATTTTACATACACAAAATGAATATGACAATTCTGATTAATGTTACAATATTCTTATGTAACCCTTTTGGTAACCTAATTGTGTGCAGAAAGAAAAGCATAGAGCTAATTTCTCTCAGGTTCTCACTTGTTCTGCAGGTCAAAAATCCTCTGGCACTCCTCTTTGTAACGTTCCTGATGTTCTGCTACAGAGAATCGAGACCCACGAGCAAATTTACTCATAGGCCCCTCCCCTGAACGAGCCTGTTCAGTAGACATGGTCCTCACGACATCGATCACCTCCCAACGGGAAAGTTTTTTTATCTAAATATGCACACATACACACATTAGAATATATTGAAGAGATAAGAGTACACAATTACCACCAATAAACATCCATGTCATTAGAGATAAATATAATAATATTGGAAAAAAACAAGCAAAAAATATAGCTGCAACAGGTTTCACTGTAATCATAATCTGGCATAATTGTAAAAACTGATATGTCTGTATGAACAAAATGGTAAACTTTGACTCGATGTGATTTTAAATGTTATAACAGTGATTTTATAATGTCTTAGCATGAATCCATTATCTAACCTATGAACAGTACTGTTTTAGGACATTTAATGAGCCCATTAGTGGTCTTCCGCTGCCATCTAGTGGTTAGAGATGCAATTCCTCATACAACACTGTGTTTTTAACCTTTATAACTGTTATAGTGTTATTTTTTTTGCCCAATCGCTCTTAAATTTTACATGCTTGTTTAGAATGAAATTATGCATAATTTTACACAGTTTTGAGAGATATTGTGGGCTTTATTTTAGGATTTATAGGCCGTTGGGTACACTATGTAAATAACATATTATAAAATGACCAGTTTATAGTTGTCCAAATGCAAATGTTCAATATTTTTTGATAATTATTGACCTAGAGAGTCTAGAGAATAGTACTGCACTGATTTTATTGATTTTGAGTTTAAAACCTACGACTAATTACCAAAATTTCTCTTTTAATAATCTCAAATATTTAATTAACAGTTTGATTGACAGCAGTGACCCTAGAGGCAAAGTTATTCAGAATGAGGAGATCTATCAAATGATATGAAGATATAGTGTATAAGTTAATATATGAACATTTTATTTCTATTTGAGGTAATTTACTACAGAAATACTGTGTTTTTGAGACCGTTTTAACTGTTATAGCACCACCTACGGTCCAATCTCTATGAAACTTTGCATGCTTGTTAAGTGTCTTCTGTCACATGTTGTCACCAAGTTTCGTAAAGTTTTGAGTTTTCTTTTAGGTTGTATAGGCTTTTGGGTATATTTGGCCACACCCCTTTTAAAATGACCCCATTAAAGATAACCAAAGGACAAAATTATTATTTTTTTTGATAATTATTGATCTAAAGAGTCCAGAGAATAACGCTGCAGTGGTTTGATCGAGATAGAGCGAGAAACCTAGGACTAGTTCGCAGAAGTAGGTTTTGAACATATTTGTGAATAATTAATGAAGGATTTGACTGACAGCAATGGTTCTTGAGGCAAAGTTGTGCATTATGAGGAGGTCTATCGAATGATATGCATATTGTGTGGATTTGTGAAACACCACATGATTACGGAGCCAAAAAAGCTTGTTAGCGCCAACTAGTGGCCGTTTTCTTTCAAAATTATTACAGACCTTTAGGGCCATGAGTCGAACATGCCCACCAAGTTTTGTTCTGATCGACCTCCGTTAACCTTGTCCAATAGGTGTCTAAACTTCTTTGGCCAATGGCAGCCATGCTTTTTGAGATATGCGAATGTCCTCATAGACACTTGTACCCCTTTGGACTAAGACACTGCATACCAATTTTCAAGTCGATCGGACCAACGGTTGCATAGTTGTCGTCATTTTAAAGTTTTTTTCCTCTTATATTTTTTTTATTTGACCAAAGATTGAGCTTACACACATGTATACCAAGTTTGGTGAAGATATCTCAGTCCGTTCAGGAGTTATAGCCATTTAAGTAAAAATGGCCCCGTCCCTAATGAACGTTTTTGCGTCCCTACGACGGGGAGTTGAAATTTCAACTTTTTTTTGATAATTTTTTATATTTACTGTCCAAAGAACATTTCTGCACTGGTTTGGTTCCGATCGGGTGAAAAACCTAGGACTAGTTCGCAAAAGTAGGTTTCTGACAAAATTCTTTTATAGACGGAAATGCAATCGGAGATAGCCATTTTGTTTTGATTGAGCCAAGGAATCCAATGATATTGAGTCTAAGACAAACGGTGTAGCAGTTATGAGGGCTTTTGCGTTTTTGATCGCTGTAGCGCCCCCTATTGGCCGATTTCGGTGAGTCTTTGGATCTGACAAGAAGGCCGGACTACTGCAATCTGACCAAGGTTCAGCTCTCTACGCCTTACGGTTTGGGCTGCATGATCAGTTTTAGGGAAGAATAATAATAATAATAAAAATCCTAACAATTACAATAGGGTTTCAGCACTACGTGCTTGAACCCCTAATAAATAAATAAAATACACATACAGCACCTTTATTCTCAGATAACCATTATGCTATTAACTTATTCAGAGGCGCTATCTTTGATTAGTTTGTTAGTTTAGTGTCACCTCTTCCTCAGGAACTCCAAACTTGCGGAGCAACTGTTTGGCATTTTTGAGCGACAAACGTCTCAGATCAGCATCAGTCCCTGTCACGGTCTTTTTGACTGGCTGGGGCTCTCGATCATCCTGAGGGAAAAACAGGAAACACAGTGTTTGAAATGAGGGTGTGTGGAATATTTTAATGCATGGAATCATTTAATTGCCAGGAGCTGTGCTAAATGGTCAGAAAGCACATACCTTCTGCTGCGTGGGTTTGTTAGGGACTTTAACGTATGAGAATCCTTCTCCACAGCCAGTGGGGTCAGCGACCCCTGTGACCTCCAGGAGACACTTCCCCTTCATGGCTGCAATGAATGCCCGAGTTGTGTTCCACGGGGCAGTGCGTACCTGATCATACAACCACATAATTATAATCAAAAACAGACTAAATCCATTACAAATACAATATTGAAATGTAGTCATTAAACTTCTGACTTCATCATCAATCTTCATCTGGAATTCCTCCTCATTCTCTTCCTCAGGTGCAAAAAAAGACTTCTCACCATAGCCAGCATCCTGTGAGAGAGAACAGTGTACATTAGCTGGTGTGGATGTGGAAGAAAGTGTGGGGAAAAAATGAAGTTTGCATGTGCAAACCTTTAGTCTCTGCTCTGCCACCTGCATACTGTAGTATGCACAACACTGCTCTGGAGAGACCATTGCTCTGATCTCCTCTTCGGTAGGAAGCCGAAAATCAGGTTTTAGCACCCACCAGTTAGAATCCATGCCTAAAAGATTGCGCATGAAACAGCTTCAGTACAGGACAGAGGAGAGAAGTGTAACTGAACCACTATATTGGTCTCTTCCTCTCTATCTAGTTTTATCAGTAGTAATAAATTGTAGTAACAAATATCTATGGTCAAACCCTGATGTTTTTTTTTAATTGCTGGAGGTTTCTTTTTGAAAAATGCCAAATGTGAAAAGTTTCTCATTTGTGTTTTTGTGGCATTCTGTTTAGGGCTGCACGATAAATCGCATGCGATATTTAATGCGCATCTTGTCAGAAAGCCGGTTCTGTAATCAGCGGTAAATCTCCATCACCTGCAGGCTTTCACATTGAGCAGCATTAACTACACAGAGCCGTTGTTCACTGACGAGCTGCGCAAAAAAATCACGATTTATTGTGCAGCCCAAATTCTGTTTAAGGCCTGTTTCACACAAACTGCATCTGTTACACATGAATTGCAGATTCGCATGATGCTTTTTACACTCACAGCATTTCTGCTGCATAACAGACCTACAGCTTTAAAAGAAAATGCAGTGAGTTCTGGGATACTACACTGAACTTCCTTGAAAAATGGCCATCAATTATAAAATGGTTACTGGGAGTGTGTACCTGAAATAAATACAAACTTGCCCATCATGAGATAAAATCATCTAGATTTAGACAGATTTACAGCACAGACAGTTTGGATGTTTGGAATGGATCCCTGTGTAGACCTTGCCTTTTTTGTGGAACCTCGCAGTTAAAATAAGTGCAAGTATGTGTGAAACAAGGATAAGGAAGAATTGTGATTTGGTTCACTTCCTTCTCAGAACTGTCTGTTCCTGTCCTACCTTCCCAGTACCAGGAAAAATACTTCCTGCATCTGTCAATTCTCCTGTCTTGACAAAACACACACAGTGACTGAAAACACCCTTCATCTCTCTGTTTGTCTACCTATTCTACATTTCTTGTGCATTTAAAACTTTTCTTAACGAAAATGGCAGTAGGTAAACATTCAGCTTGTTCAGCACAGAATTTGATTAATGTGTGTGCATAATAGAGGGTGTAAGCGCACCTGTGCGTTTAAAGTCAGCACAGAGTTTGAGGCGTTTACGGATGCTGCTCTCGGAGTGAGAAGGAAAAGCTTTCTTTATGTCTTCCATACGAATACGACGAGGGCGATCTTTACTCTTCCAAAAGAGTCGATAGATGAACACCTACAGAGAGAGAAAATACTTAAATGCTCTCCAAAAAACACGAGGCATTTTAAACAAGATTAGGATTTCAAGCTTCTATAGGTGTCCCACAAGGCCCGATGCTGGGCCCAACATTACGTCATAACTGTGTTAATGTAATTTACACATATAACTGAAGATGTTAAATAGTAATAGTAGTTAATAGTCGGCTCATATTACTACTGTCCTACATAATCAGTTTTCACATTTTCAAAATCTACTTATGCATACATTACCTATTATAACTTGTTAACACACGACAAGAATAAAATAGGCGGGGATGGGTGCCAGTGATACCTGTAGAAAATCTCGAATGTGTGTGTTGGCTCGTTTAGAGTTGGGTCCTGGCACTTCATAGAGAGGGCACTCCTGACCCACAACAAATATATCCACAAGCTCTCGGATGAAGTAGCCCTGCCTTGTCCGTATAATCAGGAAATCAGTCTCAGGCATCTTATGTAGGTAGATGGGTGCTCTGAACAAGTTATTTTCAAAGGCCTGTGACACACACAAAAGCACAACATAATTCATAAGGAATGACAACATAAGGACTTCAACGTGATATGATTACGTAAACAAGGCACTTGACACAGGGTGACAGAATTGTGACAAGAAGTGTTTGTATGTCACCTGCAGTAGTTGTCCAGGGTGCAATGATCCCAGGAATGGTGAAGTGTGACAGTAAACAGTCTCTCCGTACTTACAGTCAGGTGCTCCTGGATCTTTACCTGGTTTCTACAGACAGAAACATTAACAATGGCATTATAAAGGGTGACCAGACTTGTATACCCAGACCAAGACTTTAAATTATCGAGACTAATCAGCATCAAATCTCCCAGTGGTTTGTTTAAATTTGTGACTTACTCTTTTGTAGTAGTTCTTGATTTTGGTTGCCATGCCAACTTGCATGAGAAGGGGAGGATACTCCTCGCTATATTCAGCCAAAATCAGGTCTCCGTCTTTGCCCGTCAGATCCTGAGCTGTGCGCATAAAAAACATGTCCCCTCCACCTGATGCCTGACGTTCCTGCTCTCGCATCTGAGAGATTTTAAAATATTACGAGACAAATGAAGGACAAGTATGAACTTTAATAGGACAATGTATATTATACACAAACAAACACTCACTATCACTCACAAACACACATATGAATTATGTCAGTCTACCTTAGCTTTCTTCTTGATGTGTTTGAGGAGAGGCTGGCTTGGATGTGGGCCAGGCTGGGACAGTGCTCCAAATGAGTACTTTTTAAGGGAGGGTCGATGGAACTGCCGTAGTTTCATAGGTCCCATATGAGTGGGGAAGAAAGGCTGCCTCAACTCAACAGCAGGAATGGAGTGCTGAGGAAAGAAATGTTGACAAAAAAAAATAAAAAAATAAGAAACAATAGGCAAAGCAAAATTAGGAAAGACTATATCGGAGTCAAATCAAATGACTTAATCTATCAATTGTATAATTTGAGTCAGTGTGATTTGGAAAATGGCACTAAAAATCTCATTTTATAAATGGACAGGCATTTTATTGTTTCTGCCCATTTAAGGGTTACACATTCAGACACATTTATGCATCTCACACTGTTGCACACACTGTTTTTAGAGGGTCATTCCATAGTGAACTATGCACATGCCCAGGACATTAAAAGGGCTGTTGGCTCACAGGAACCAGGGCCCTCATTTATCAACAGTGCGTACGCACAGATGTGTGCGTAATGAGTGCGTAAGAACAGTTTCATGCAGAGTGTGGGATCTACCAACTAGTACTTATATGTAGGAATGTGTGTAAATGCAAACTCAAATCTGAGCACGCTTATGGAGAGATTCTAGTGGTAGAACAACTAGGTACTACAAAAAGAAACTGCTGCCGTATGTGTCCTGTAGGGATGTAACGACTACCGGTTTTATGATAAATCACGATAAAATGCCCTGACGGTTAGTATCATCGTTTAAAATTGAATTATCATCAAAACCGTATTTGATTATTGTGATTTTGAAAACTCGCGGTAAATCCTGTCCAGCCAGCATCAGTCTGACGCAGAAGCAGCATGCAATGTTGTTGTTGATTTTTTTTGCACAAGACGAAATAGCACAAGGCAGTGACAGCGCACTGGAGATTTTTCAGCCATCTAAGAGGACCAAATCGGTGGTCTGGTCGTATTTTGGCTTTTACAAGAGTCCTGAAGGCAATTTAATCGAGGACGGTCACCCTGTCTGCTGATCTTGCAAGAAGAAAGTAGCTGCAAAAGGGGGAAACGCATCAAATTTGCTCAGCCATCTTCGTGACCACCACCCACTGTTATATAGCGAATGCAAGGTAACTTTTACCTCCATACCAAAACTAACTGGGCAAATAATTGGGACTAAAAATATTGATTAGAGATTAAATATTTCGTTATCTCACTTGTAATTAACGCAAAGCTTCCGCGAAGAAAAGTTCTCAGCAAGTGGCTTTGAGCCAAGACGAACGAACGTGCAAACTATCAGGTTGACATTTAAGGGATAATGTATTGTATATTCATAGTTAACTTATTACACTGATTTTTTTTGTTTACCAATAATAATAATAATATAAAAATACGGGGACACGAAATACTGAATTGAGATTAATGTTTTAAAATCGTACCCGTTTATAAATCCATTATGAACAGTGTACAAAACAATCGTCAGGACAATATGATCACTACAGCAAAATTATAGTAGTAT